TTTGGCCCTGGCTTTCTCCTTTGTTCATAACTGATCTACCAGGAACAGGAGGGGATTTGGGAAAGGGAGGATGGGGGAAGGGAAGGACATGGAGAGAAAGAGAGAGAAAAAGAGAGAAAGAAAGGCTTACATGGATTTTTTGGGGGGGGGGAAAGCTGATCACCCCAAACATCATCCCTAATGAAAATGAAAAAGCGGCCAACTGCCAAGAAATTGGGGATGTGGCTCAAAATCATGCAACTAAGTTTGCTCAACTTGTTTCCTTTTGGGCCAGGAAAACTTAAAAGATGAATCCAAATGAAATCATTAAAGACGAATCCAAATTAAATCATTAAAGACAAATCCAAATTAAACCATTCCCTTTGAGCTCCTTTGAAGCCAAAAGGGGAAGAGAATGAGATGGGAAAGAAAAACAGATTGGGTGGATTTTTTTTTTTAAAAAATGATTAAGAATTAAAAATTTTGCGCACATTTTTTGGAAAAGTCAGCGCAAGTGTGCAGATTTTTTTTTCCCCAAATCGTCCTTGATCTTTTTTCCTAGGTATCAATAAATACATCCGAATCAATGGAAGAGTCGTGTTGGCCATACAGCAAAGTGCAACAACATCCCAAATCCACCACAGATTGATCCCTTTACTGGGCCAACCAACATGCACAAAACATCTTGTCTATTTTGTGGCTTTTGTCAGTTGTTGTTCCCTGCTTCATCCATGGGGAGAGGCAAGTAAGAAATAAATAGGATGATGATGAGGATGATTTTGCTTGGCCTAATAAAGGTATCACCATTTTGTGGATTTTGGATTCTATTGTTCAGTGGAAGAGAGTTGAAGAAGGTGTGATAACAGCTGGATGATGTAACCGATTATTATTATTATTATTATTAACATATATCTCACCTTTCTCCCAATATAGGGACTCAATATAGGAACCAAAAGATCCCTCCTTTCCCCCTCCAAAGTCACCATCGCCGTCCAAAGTAATTAAAAAATAATAATCCAATTGGTGTCATTTTTAAAACTTCCATATTCCTGCTTCCATCTCTGGAAGGAACAGAATATGCAGTCCCAGAGAAGCAAAATTTATCACTCTCCAGCCCTTTTGGTTATTATGCATGTACTTCTGAACTGTTGGACTTTGCAGAGAACTAACCAGTTATTTGTTAGTTAATCCATTGTATTAACATATCTTTATGTAAATTTAATGTTGTAAGCTGCCCCGATTGCTCTGCAGAGGGGCGGGATATAAATAAATATTATTATTATTTATTATTATTATTTGGTTTAAAAATGGAAGAAGCAGAAACTGGAGAGAGGCAAAGTGTAGGAAAGCAAAAAGTGGAGAGAAGAGGAGCTGGTGAGCAGCCAGAGGGAGAAAAGAGGTTTAGTAAGAAGGCCTGGGTAATGAAAGATGCAAGGAAAATTATTCTTTGGAAAGGGAAAGGATAAGAGGAAAGGGAACCCATTTTGCTGTTCTTTTCAAAATCCATTTGTATGAAACCCAAATAACATAACACAAATACAACCTAGACAGTCAGCCCTCTGCATCCACGGATTCTTTAGCCACAGAGTCAAACTTGAAAATGCGGATTTTTAAAATTATAAATTCCAGAAAAAAAAACCCTTGATGTTTGCCATTTTGTATAAGGGTACTTAATGGCGTCTGAACATCCAGGGATTTTGGTATCCATGGGGGGAACCAAAACCCAGGGGATGCCCAGGGCCCATTTGTACATGTAAGAGAGAAACACATCCTAGTCTTTCAAAGAAAACTTTTGTCAAGGATTTCTCCTGAACCGGAGTTGTCCATTTGTCCATTTCATTGTCCATTGTCTCCTGAATCGGAGTTGTCCATACACTTCTATCCACCAAAGAGGGATCCCTTTCAGCCAGATCATTTATTTTCATCAACCAACCAACCTTCTTGAGTTGGAGTAACAGCTCCCTTCCAACTAAGGAGGGGAACATATTGTGTTTGTGGGTGCAAATATGCACACATGTGGCTGAGCATAAGCAGGCACAGAAAGTGTGCATTCTCCTTCTGCATCCTTCTAATGGAAAAAGGAGTCAGAGCAAATAAATCTCCTCTGGTTCAAAAAACTCTGGGACCAGAGCAAACAAAAAGGAGACCCACAGATGGATTCTGCACAGAAACTGGCCAGCCACAAAATCCTGTTTTGGAGGTGGAAATTGGTACTTTTGGACTCCAAAAAGTGGGGGATCATCCAGCCCTCCTTTGGCCTCTCTGTCCCCTTACCAACAAACACATCCTAGGGTTGAAAAAAGGACTCTGCAGGGCATCCTAAAGGTGGAAAATAAGGGCTACTGGCTGGATCTTTTTTAAAAAATGGCTAGAGATTTGAAAAGAGGAGAGTTGGGGGTTGGCAAAGTTGGGAAAAAACACCCATGCACAGCCATTTTGGGATTATTCTAGCCAAACTCTATCCTGTCTTTTTAAAAAAGAGGGGTCAAAAAAGCCAAGCAAAAGCAAAGTCTATCCTTTTGTTCAAAGAAAGAATGAATCTGGGACTCACCAAGCAAGATGGGGGCCTTGGCCATTCGTGCACCAAGCACCGATCTCCCCAAAGAAATGCCCAAAGCTCTTGGACTCTGTTCCTCCAACTTTTGGGCCCCCTTCCTTTCCTTGGCTTGTTGGTTTTTTGAAAGTTTGGGAAGCTGGAGAGAAAGCAGGGGATGATGGATCCAGCCCAGCTCTGGGGAGGGAGAGGGTGGAGTTGGCCAGGGGGGCCCCAGAGAGGAAAGCCTAACTAGGGAGGAGTTGAGGAGAGGAGGAATGAGAGAGGAGGAGAGAAAGAGGAGAAGTTCCCCTTGGCCTGCTTGCTTTCTTTCTCCCTGGCTGGCTCAGATTGCCTCCTGGCTCCAAAGCAAAAGGGGTTCAGGCCAGTCCCAGGCTTGCTTCTTTCTCCTTGGCAAGCTGGACCCACAGCTTCCACTTGTTCTCAAATGCTCAATCTCACTTGGCTCCTTGGCTCTGCCACACTGCAGCCTTAATCCGGTTCGATACCTGGCTAAAATGGCATTCGCCTTCTTTGCTGCAGCATCACATCGCTGGCTCGTGCGCACGCCTTTCCCGGGCACCAGAAGCTGTCCCTTGCCCTTGCAAACAGAGTGCGCGAGCATATGCAGAGTGCATTGTCGCCTCCCGCTCAGAAAGTGTGGCTCTCTTCTGGAAGTCGTAGTGCTTTGGTCATAGTGTTTTGGTCAGCAGTCCAGTTCTGGGCCCCACAAGTGGAGAAGGCTGTGGGCCAGCTGGAGTTATGTCCAGAGGAGGGTGACCAAAATGGTGAAAGGTCTGGAAACCTCCAAGCCCTCTAAGGAGCAGATTTGGGAGCTGGGCCTCTGCACTGTAATAATAATAATGCAGTTTGACACCACTTTAACTGCTGTGGCTCTGTTCTACAGAAGGAATTTGGAGAGGCACCCAGACTCTTTGGCAGAGGCAGCTAAGAAGTTGCAAAACTACAAATCCCAGGATTCGATAGGATGGAGCCACAGCACTCGAAGCGGCGCCGAAGTGAATTATCTCCACAGTGTGGACGCATCCCAAAATCAACACACCGAGCAGAACAGATCTGGAGGGAGCATTGTGGAGCAAGTCTTGCTTTTTATCTGCAGGCGATGGTTTAAAAAGGGAGGCGGAAGAAACTTCTTCGGCGTGGCTTGCCTGTTTCAGAAAGTCCCTTTGAAGGCTTCTCTTTGTGTCTGGAGGGGGAGCTTTAGCTAGACTCCATCTCCTTGGGCTCCTTCCTTCTCTCTCATATTCCCCCCCCCGGCTCTGAAAATCCCTGGGGGCTTATATTTTGGGGGTGTCAGGATGGCAAGAACTGTTGGACAGTGGAAGACATTGCCTCGGAGGATGGTGGAGTCTCCTTCTTTGGAGGCTTTCAAACAGAAGCTGGATGTCCATCTGCTGTGTGGGCTTAGATGGTGTATTCCTGCATGGCAGAATGGGGTCAGACTGGATAGCCTCTAGGGGTCTCATCCAACTCTATGGATCTATGAGATCTTCTGGGGAGGCCCTTCTCTCTCTTTCTATCTCCTTCTTGGAGGATGCTCCCAGGAACTCCTTCCCTAAAGAGGCTAGACCAGTGTTTTCCAGGCTTTGGTCCTCCGAGTGTTTTGGACTTCAGCTCCCAGAAGCCCCACCCAGTTTGGCCAACCATTAGGAATTATGGGAGCTGAAGCCCAAAACATCTGGAGGAGCAAAGTTTGGGAAGCACTGGGCTAGACTTTCCCCTTGCTTGCTATCCTCCCATGAACAGAGTGTGGTTAAACAGGGCTCCCTCCATCCCTACTTTACCCTCACAACAACCCTGTGAGGTAGGCCAGGTTGAGACAGAAAAAGAGAGAGAGAAGAGGACCAGCTCAGGGCCAACCATTCCATCTCATAGTTCAGCAAGGACGTATTTTGTTATTTTAGCAGGTTGTAACAACGCAAGCACAGTCAGTCCTCTCTATCCACGGATTCCGCATCCACGGATTCCACCATGAACATATCTTTTAAAAATCCCAAAAAGCAAACCTAGATTTTGCCACATGATAAAAGAGACACCATTTTACTGTTGGAAAGTCGCCGTGGCATAGTGGTTTGAGCGATGAACTACGACTCTCAAGACCACGAATCCTGGCTCGGCCATGGAGACCCCACTGGGTGACCTTGAACAAGTCACACTCTCTCAGCCTCAGGGAAAGGCCCTGGCAAACCTTCTCTGAACAACCCTTGCCAAGAAAACCCCAGGATAGATCCACCATAGGGTTGAAGGCACACAACCACCACCAACACAAATTTTACTACCCTATTATTTATAAAAGAACTTGGGTATCTGTGAATTTTGGCATCCACAGGGAGTCCTGCAACAGAACCCAGGGGATACCAAGAGCCTGCTGCACAATAAATCCCAAAAATGGAACACCACAAGTCCTAATCCAAAAGGAGGATGGGCAGAACTTCATGTTTCATCAGAAAGTCTGAAATGTGGGAGAGCCAGCATTGGCATAGTGGTTTGAGCATGGGACTAAAACTCTGGAAATCAGGGTTCGAATCCCCGCTGGGGTATGGAAACCCACTGTTGTGGAAGCCCTACCTGGTGACGCTGGGGGGATTTGAACTCGTGACCTTTAGCAGATCAGTGCAATGGCTCGACAGCCCAGCTCCGGCCCTTTGATTTCTTGCCCGGGCACGGATGAATTCCCTTAAGCACCGGGCCAGAGACAATCCCAGCGCTCCGTCTCCATCTCTGTTGCAAGCACACAGAGCGAAAAGAGATCAACGCAGTCAATCAGGTTTAAGAGGAAATCTATCTGCCCAGAAATCTGAAATCTAGAAGCCATTTAAGCGCCAAAGAGGGAGCGAGGAAGAGCCTTGGCACTGTCACGCACAGCCTGGCACATGCCTTCTCCATCCCTTCCCCGCCCAATCGCCAACCTAAATGAGTGGGTCTGCAAGGAACTACACATCCCAGGGATATTTATTTTACATTCGCCTTCCTTAAATCTCTCAATCTGCTTCTGTAATACAGCGAAACAAGAAGGGCTGGGCACAGCGGATTCCCACCTCGCCAGGGATCAGATTAAAGCAGATGATCAGGGCTTTAAGGCTTCCTTATTCTGAGCCGGGGGTCAGAGGTTGCACAAAGGGGGGGGGGGGTGGCAGAGAAAAAAGGTCAGGAACACCATGGCAAAACATTTCCATTTCCATTTTTTAAAATTTGCATCCTCCTCCAACAACTCTGAATACTTTGCTCCCTCCGTTTCCCTCCATTCTCTGCACCACAGAAGGCACACGGCCTGCAATGAGATCCACAAGGCAACAGTGGCAATGCAGCAGCTAAAAAGGCCAATATGATCCTGGCTTGACAACAGTACATCGGAAAGGGATCTAGGAGTCTAAATAGACCGCAGGCCGAACACGAGCCAACAGTGTGATGCGGCAGCTAAAAAGGCCAATACGATCCTGGCTTGACAACAGTACATGGGAATGGGATCCAGGAAGAATGGGATCCAGAATGGGATGCTGAACATGGGCCAACAGTGGTGATGCAGCAACTGAAAAAGCCAATATGATTCTATTGGAGTCAATAGGAGTGTATCAAGGGAAGTCATAGTCCCACTCTATTCTGTTTTGGTCAGTTGGAATATTGTGTCCAGTTCTGGGCACCACAATTCAAAAAGGATGTGGACAAGATGGAGCAAGTCCAGAGGAGGGTGACCAAAATGTTGAAAGGTGTGGAAACTAGAAAGCCCTCTGAGGAGTGGCTTGGGGAGCTGGGATGCTTAGCCTGGAGAAGAGAAGGTTAAGAGGTGATACGATAGCCCTCTTTCAGTATCTGAAGGGGTGCCACATTGAGGATGGAGCAAGCTTGTTTTCTGCTGCTCCAGAGAATAGGATACGGAGCAATGGATGCAAGCTCCAGGAAAAGAGATTCCACTTAAATTTTAGGAAGCATTTCCTGACAATAAGAGCTGTTTGACAGTGGAGGACATTCCCTCGGAGGGTGCCAGAGTCTCCCTCTTTGGAGGTTTTTAAGCAGAGGTTGGATGGCCATATGCCAGGAGGAGTGCTTGGATGGTGTCTTCCTGCATGGCAGAATGGGGTTGGACTGGATGACCCTTGGGGGTCCCCTTCCCACTCTGGGATTCTATGGCTGCCTGAGCCACCAAATGTTTGCCACCAACCTATGCCAAACTCTTCTCCAAAACCAACTATCTCAAGCCCATTGTTCAACTGTCCCCTGGCCCATAACGGTGAATATAATAATGGCTGCCTGAACTGTCCAGTCTCCCCCCATTCCCTCCAAATTCTTCTCCAAATTCCAGGTATTCCAAGTCAGCCACAATGCGAACAAGGACTCCATAACCCATCTGCCTGGTGGCAGAGTCCCCACACATTTACAGAGAGAGAATAGAAGGGGATGTACAAAAGCCAACAGAGTAGAACCATCAACTTGCAAACACAGTCTGGAATCACAAGAGCTGGAAGGGGACACCCAGAGGTCACCTAGTCCAACCCCCTGCCATGCAGGAACTCACAGGCAAAGCACTCCCAAGAAATGGCCATCCAACCTCTGTCTGAAGACCTCCAAAGGAGGAGAAACCATCACCCTCCATGCCAATATGTTCCACTGCCACTTTCCCAACAACTCACTGGGAACGGAGTTACCGAGTTAAACTCATCCTGCTGGGTTGTAAGAATAGAGAAAGTTACCTTAAACCAGCAGAGGACTCTCCGGGGCAGTCAGTATTACAGGCCAATGGTTCTTACAGTCAAAAAGTCCTTCCTAATGTTCAGGACCTCTGTCCTTGTAGAGCTGGGGAGGGGGACCCCCAAAGGGCATTTAGTCCAACCCTTGTCAGAACAAGAATCTCCCCAAAGCGTTTAGGCCTGGATCTTCTCCCTTCTTTTGTGAAATGTGAAAGAAAGCCTGGCTTCTTCCAAACCTTCGGTCTGTGAAATCAAGGACAGTAATCTTCTCTGGACCCAGGTGGTTCAGATTGGAACAGAAGGATGAAACTGGAAACACCTGGGCATGCTGTAGTTCTCTCTTAAGTTATTTATTGGGCATAAAATAAAGGAAACCAGTTGGGTCTGGAATCCCAAATCCTGGGAGTCATGGGCTCTGAAGAGTCACAATATGTAAAAGGTTTGAATGTGTTCTTAATTATTATCTTTCACATGCGTTGCTCTTTAATGGATTGGATTCATATCCCACTTTTCTCCCAAAATGGGATACAAGGGGGCTTACGATAATTAGGAAGGATGCAACTATTTTTTAATTGCATGAGAGATTGTTTTAGTCACACAGTTTTAGTTTTAACACCGCTTCAGTTACATTTTCTGAACAATGACAGATTGTTTTAGTTGCACTGTTTTAGTTACATTGCGTTGACGATCAGTGAAAGCTGCTTTTGGGGCCCAGATGGAAGAAAAGTGGTATATAAACTAAACAAACAAACGAACAAATATTTTGGCAGAGGCCAGACTGGCATTTCTCAGTCGTTGCAAGATATGGGCACTGGGTGAGACTGGATGACCTCTAAAGGGTCCTTCTAGATCAACAAGATGGTGATGATAATCCCAGAACTGGAGAACTGAACCACTGACATAATCGGTGGAGGGAAATAAAAAGACATTTTCTTGGACGGAGAGAAAGATGAACATTAAAACAAGAAGGGAGGCAGCTTCGTTGCGCTTTCAGCTCCATGCTGTTCATGCTTATCGCCTTGCCTTAAGCGTAGCAACCCAGGCCTTTTTTTATTTTTTAATTAAACTAAGCAGCGTTATTAGACTTATATTAACCGCGTAAAGATTCATCAGATCAGTTATCTCGGCGCTGGAGCTTAAGTTATGAAATTTATGATGTGCCAGGTTTTTCTTTAAAAAGAAAAGGAAAAGGGGAAAAAAAAGATTGGAGATTTAATTAATTCCCCCCAGAGGGAACCTTTCCAACTTTCCTTGCAACCAAGAAACACCTTTCCCTTTTCTTAAAAATAAAAAGAAGGCATTTCACTCCTCTCCACAGCCCCTAATTCCTATAGTTCATTTCTATTGTTCGTAAAATATTATATATATATATATATATACCGTATATATATA